TGGGATCATCCTATCTCTGCCTTCCTGGTGCTGGGATTCCAAACCTGAGTCACCATTCCCTGCTTTGGAGCTGGGTTCTGGAGCAGTGTGAAATGAGCTGTGTTCTATCCTTGCCCTCTCTCAGTGCCTGTTGGCTTTTCAGCTTCCACTTTCTTCTCCTTCCCTCAGCCCTGGGATTGCCATCTCCTGCACTGCGCGCGCGCGCGCGCACACACACACACACACACACACACACACACACACACACACACCCGCTCCCATCTCCTGTCCCCTCCTCCCCTCACTCTCGGCCTCCTTCCCTGTCCTGCCATGCAGAGCAGAGCGGCAGCCGAGGCCAATTGATTATCTGAAGAAATTCGGAGTTAGCAGCACAACAGCTGCAGCCGCCCTCTCTCACCACCCTCAGGCCCTGAGGGACCTGCGAGGGGAGGGGCCCCTAACCCTTCTGCTCTCCAGCCTGGGAGGGAGGGAGGGAGATGGTCCCTGAGCACAGAGGCGTGCTGCTAAGGCTTGGGCTCACACCCAGGATCCTAGGAGTCACCGTGAGTCACAGTCACGTCACTTTTCTGGACAGGCAGCTGTCCTTGAAACAAAGGTGTTACCAGGCACCCAGGCGTGGTGGCGTCTAACTGTCTTCCAAGCTTTCTAGAGGAAAAAGCAGGTGCTTGCTAAGTTAAAGGCCAGTCTGGGCTATTTAATGTGACTTTGTATCAAAATAAGTAGATAAATAAATAACCAAAGCTGATGGTCATGTACAGTGGTGCACCCTTATAATTCTAGCCCTGGGGAGACTGAGGTAGGAGGATGGCAAGCCGGAGGCCAGGTTGAGTTATATAGTGACACCTGGTATCAAGTTTTTAAAAAATAAAAATAAATATTAGGGCCGAGGTCTGGGGAGATATGGCTCAGGTGTTAAGAGCACTGGCTGCTCTTCCAGAGGTCCTGAGTTCAAGTCCTAGCAACCACAAGGTGGCTCACAACCATCTATAATGAGATCTGGTGCTCTCTTCTGGTATGTGTAAAATAAATAAATAAATAAACAAACAAATAAATAAATAAAATTAGGGTCGAGCAGTGGTGGTGCCCTTAATCCCAGTACTCAGGAATCAGAGGCAGGCAGATCTCTGTGAGTTCAAGGCCAACCTGGTCTACAGACCGAGCAAGTTTCAGGACAGCCACGGCTACACAGAAAAACCCTGACTTGAAAGCAAACAAAAAAAAATTAAAAGGAAAAGAGGTAAGAATGGGGGGAGCTGGACGCTGGGATCTTCCAAGGTCCTTCCAACACAGCGCTCAGATTTCACTGGCCTCAGTTTGGCCCGCCCTCCTGCCAGGCACTGGGCACAGGATATTTCACTTAAATCACCCGCAAAAGAGAAGACATCACATCTTAGGAGTTCCTTTCCAACTGTCGTTCAAAGCCCTCTTGTTAATGGCATTCTGCAGCCACCCTGGGATGTATGTAGTACATACTGCATTCTGTTGGACCAGAGGATGGATGTCTCAGTAGACCCTTCCCACTGATTGAAGTTAAGCTATCTCACACGGCCCTAAGTTAGGAAAGGCTCTTCCAGAGATCCATCTGGAATGGGAATGTACTCTAGGTGCCTCTTTACAGACTAGATACTTCAGCCCCTCTACCTGGATCCCTCTCTATGGGGCAAATGGGCAGCCCCAGACTCTACAAAACTGCCAAGTTTTTCTTGGAAATAAAATCTATTATGCTATAGCCTCTACTCAGTGATTATGATTCTAGCTTCTGAAGACATAGAAAGTCCATTTTTCTTCCTTCATTTAGTATTTGAAGATAAGGATGGTTTTACCTCTAAATCTACTCTTTGCATGCTTTGTTTTTTGAGGTAGGCTCTCACACATATTCCAGGGTGACCTCAACTGTAGCTGAGAATAACTTTGATCCAACTGCTGCCGCCTTGGAGTGCCAGGGTCAGAGGGGTGCAACCAACCCCTTTTATGCAATGCCAGGGATCAAGCCCAGGTTTCTGTGCTTACTGGGCATGCACTTTACCAACTGAACTTCCCCTAACTATAATATATATATATGTATATACATATATATATATATTCTAGTCCCTAAATATACTCTTATCAAGACAGACATCATTCCGTCCCCTCTCCAGCACTGCCCCACCCACCCCAATGGTACAGCAATGGCCTACAATGTGTGAGACCTCTGGTCCCATCCCCAGCATCAAACGAAAAGCAAAACAAAAACCCCAAATGTATCTTCTGTTTTCCTTGTAGCTTGGTCTCCAGGCCTTTCACTTTCTGCGATGGGCCTCTCTGTTCTATCAGTGTTCCTCTTAAAACCAGGGGGTCTGTCAGGTTGGCTTCTTTTAGGGAGGCCAGGTAGAGCGGGGAACACCTGTAATTCCAGCACTTGGGAGGTTAGCAGGTGGAGAAAATCTCAAATTTAAGACTGCCTTAGACAGTGTGCCAGTCAAGGTTAAAGCCAGCCTGGGCTACATGAGACCCCGTCTTCAACTGACCCACTTGCCCCCCAAAAAGAAGCTGATTCTAAGTCTGAGTCTTAACTGTGTCCCTAATAACTTTGTGACCTTGGGAAAGGTACTCTCTGACTCTGGGTTTAAATGTCTTTATAAGTTGATTTCAGAGTTTTTTTCAAGAATCTTTCTGATGCCGGTTCAGCACCTCCCCCTGCTCTGGTGTTTTGGGCAGGTTCTAGGCTGGACTTGAACCCGTGACTGCCTGCCTCAGTCTCACAGACTCAGCCACTCAGCACTCTCCTTGTTTCTAATTCCATTCATTCTCTCACTACCCCGTCCTCCGTCGTGCTCCATCCTGTATCTGATGATGTGGCACACAGAACAGACCATGAGCTGTTTCAAGTAATTTTGACCCAGCCTGGAGATGATCAGAGAAAAGGCAATGCCTTGATGTTATACCATGGCTTTCTCCAGCAGCATGGACCTACAGACACAGGTAGGGACACCCAGCTGCCTTTTCTCAAGGCCATAGTGAGAAAGATCTGAAAAACAGAAAGCATCACTCAATGACTGCTAAAATGGAATGCATGAGATTTCTGGGAGGAGACCTGGGGCGGAGGCACAACCTCTTTTCCCTGTAGCCCCTCTTCTCTGTCTCCATTTATTTACCACGCGAAGCTCTCATCATGATACAGACAGACACTCTTGAGGCTTCAGTGCCTAGAACCCTTGATATTCTCTTTACATAATCTTTTTTTCTTTCTTTCTTTCTTTTTTTTTTATTTTTCGAGACAGGGTTTCTCTGTAGCTTTGGGGACTTGTCCTGGATCTAGCTCTTGTAGACCAAGCTGGACTCAAACTCCTCCTGCCTCTGCTTCCTTAGTGCTGGGATTAAAGGCGTGGGCCACCACCGCCCGGCTATATTCTTCAGGCCAGCTTCCCAACACAAAGCAGCCACAACCATATCTGGTACTAGATCGAGGTCACTTTAATTTTTCTTTTTGTAAGAAATTAGCAGTGTAACCAGAGAGAGGCTTACACACAGGACACAAGACCTGGACTCTGGGGTCTGCTCTTGGTGGTATTGGGAAAAGCAGAGTCAATAAGAGGAATGGAGGTGGGTAGGACTGGAGCGGGACTGCCAGGGATGGAGGGGTTGAGAGAGGGCACCCAGAAGGTGGGAGGCTGGGGGAGGGGCACTATTCCAGAGGAAAGGGGGTGGGGACAGACGGAGCTGAGGAAGGGGTGCTGGTATGCTGGGTGAAGGGATCCCCACACACACCTGCACTGGAGAAGGAGCAAGAAAAGGAAAGAAGGTACCAGGGAGAAAGGAGGGTCCCAGCTAGAGTTAGCTGCAGGGAGCCCCCCTCACCATACCCCAAAGTGCATAACTCAGTAATAAATAGTAATATTTATAAATAAATAAATGCATAAATAAATAAATACATAAATATAAATAAACATCCTTGTAGAGCTAGGAGTTTGCTGTGAGAGAGGGTGGAGCATGGAGAAGCAGTGAGTTCATCTCTTCTACAGGGAGTCTAAGACCCGTGGACTCACGTTGCACAGACTACAAAGGGCAGTCGGGGCTCAGCAGCATGGGCGGGGCACCTTCCTTTCCGTGGCAGCTTCAGAAAGGAGGCGGGGGACATAATAAGAAGGCCCTAGAGCGTGCACAGGAGGCAGTCGCAGGCATCCCCTTGCACCTGAGGGGGGAGCTGATAGGGTTTGCACGTTTTCAAGGTCTGCTGGGACAGAAGCGGCTGCTGCTGAGCTGCCCCACCCAAGGCCTGGGCCTTCTGCAAGGTGCCCCGGGCTATTCGGAGACGACATTTTCAACCCTGGACTGAGGTTTTCCTTTTGCTAGCTGCCACAGGGGAAAGGAGAAAACTGGAATGGCAGAAGTGGGAAGAGACAGGGGAGTGGTCAGACAGCTCCTAGAGGAGGCAAGGCACTCACTACCAAGTAAGATCTGAGGTCTATATAATTCTAAGCCTCAGGAGTCAGATAGGAAAGGAAGGGCAGACTTTTTCTATAACCCCTGGCTACCCAGGAATCACCTCACTCATTTTTCTGTCCCACGAGCCCATTCCTCTCCCAGGCATGGCTGGAGAAGTCTGGGACTTAGAAACCCACTCCTCACTCCCCCACTGGTCATTTCCCCTTTGGATTCCGATGCTGAATCCCACCATTGCCAGAAGAGAATTTGGGTCTAGGGTCTCTGAAAACTTGGACATAGGGCAGAAGAGGCAGCAGCTGAGCAGAGGCTAGGGTTAGTAAATCCAGCAAGGGCTCCATTCTGACCACTCAGGCAAGCAGCTCTGATCAGCTAGGACCTAACAACTCTCTGAAAGAACCCACGAGAGCATCCCTCACAAGCCTAGGTCAATGAAAAGAAACCAGCCTTCAGGACCAGCGGTGTGAGCCCGGTCCTCTGGGATGGGAAGAAGACAGCCATAAGTAATGCATGGTGGCAGGGATCTCAGAAGAGGCCCCAGGAGGAGGGGAGAATCCAGGGTGGGAGGTGGGCTGAGTTCAGACATCCAGCACGTGATTCAGGTAGGAGATGTAGCAGATGGCCAGACGCAGGATCTCAATCTTGGAAAGCTTCTTGTCTGGGGGCAGAGTGGGCAGCAGTTTGCGCAGCTCGGCGAAGGCCAGGTTGAAGGCTTCCACGCGGATGCGTTCTCGCGTGGCATGTGCTGTGCGGTACTTGGCGGTGGCTCGGCGCCGGCGTCGGCGCTCCTCCCGGCTCAGGTGCTGCAGGTCTTTGCGGCCAGCCTCTCCGAGCTCCGCGCTCCGGACCTGGCCCACTCCGGGATCCCCCGACCCGGCACCATCCGGGCCCGGCCCGCCCCCACAGTCGCTAAAGCCCGACTCGGTCTCCGAGTGGGTGGGAGGTAGGTCCAGCTCCATGGTGTCAGAGTTGAGCATCATGATGGAAACCCGCAGCCTAGTGAAAGCCGGATCACCTCCCTACCCGTCCCTCTCGGAGCTTGAAAACGGGCTGTGGGAGAGGCAGTAAGGATCTGGAGTGCTGGGGTCCACCACTTAGCTCAGGAAAGCAGAGTCGCTTCAAGGTTCCATGGTCAGGATTCCAGCCTGGAGCCTGAAACAGAAGAAGAATTAAGAATTGACTGCTGAGTGGGGTGAGCGGCTCAGAGCTGGGAGAAGAGTTGGAAACTTGGAGTCAGGGCTGTCCAAGGTTAGAGAGACCAGCAGGCAGAAAAGAGTGAGAGGAAAAACAGAAGAAAGAGAAAGTTCTGGGAAAGACACAGCAGGCACCGTAACACTGAACAAGAGAAATGAAGACCTAGAACCGCTGACTTCCTAGAAGAAAACAGAGGGGAAACCTTTCGAGACATTGGACTTGGCCTTCATTTTTCTTGACTATGAGAACAGAAGCATAAGCAGAAAGAAAAAAATGTACACCAAACGTAACTGTAGCACACTAAGAACAATTACCACAGTGAAAATTCAACCTACGGAATAAGGAAGCAGTCACAAACCATATATCTGGTAATAAGTTCATATCCAGAGCATATGAAGAAGTTCTTAGGCAAGTGTGGCAGCATATGTCTGTGTAACCCCACCATTCAGAAGACTGAGGCAGGACAACGATTGTGAATTTGAGACTGGATGCATAGTGATACTCAGTCTCAAAAGAGTGAAGTCAGAACAACGAAAATATTGCATAACTTCATTTTGAAGTGGGAAAAGGGCTTGAACAGATATTTCTCCAAAGATGATGTACAAATGGCCAACGTGCTTATGAAAATACATGGCATATCACTGGTCACTAAAAATGCAAATGAAAACCACAGTAATATCACCTCTCATTCACTAAAGATAAAACAAAACAAAACAAAACAAAAAACAGAAAGAAAAAACCCTAAAACTCAGTCAGTGTTGACAAGAATGTGAAGAAATAGGAACCCTTGTTTATAGGATTGTAGAGTGGTACAACTGTTATGGAAAACATCCTGGATGCTCCTCAAAAATAACAACGACAAAAAAAAAAAAACACCTGAAACTGGAAATACAGTGTGTTCTAGCGTTCATGAGATATTTGCACACCCGTGCTCATAATAATAGCAGAAGCAGCTCAAATGTTCACCGGTGGAGCAGTGGATAAACAGAATGCAAATATGATGTATACATTATAGATGTATATATCTCTATATAAACATAAACACATATAAAATTATATAAATATATACAGTATAGCTTCGACTAGGAAGGGACTCCTGTCATACTGCAACATCAATTAAACCTTGAGGACATTATAAGACAAGAACTATGGCTCCACTAGTTTAAGTTCCTAAAGTCGTCTAATTCATAAAAAGAGAAAGTGGAGTGGTGGCTGCCAGGGGTGGAGGGAAGGCAAAGGGGAGTTGTTTTATAAGGATCATAGAATTTCACATTCAAAAGATGAAAAAGTTCTGGAGATCAGTTCCACATAAAAGAATATACTTAACATTCTCGGGCTCTACCCTCATTTGCTGTGATTGCAAATTTTGGTGTGTGTGTGTGTGTGTGTGTGTGTGTGTGTGTGTAGGGTTTTTTTTTTTTGCCAGGTGGGGGCTCACATAATAATAAATAAGGGGAAAGACAGAGAAATAGCCCCAAGGGAAGTTGGTTATAATTCTAGCCCTTTCCCAGTAGTGAGGGGAGGACTGTTAAGTCTTGGCTTTGGGACCCTCTGTCCTCTTGTTCCTTGTTGGGGAGAGGAAGCAAACACAGAGACTGGTCATTGTTGTGTGCTCTGGGATATATGAAGCGTGGTACAACTTTCTGAGCACCACCGCTGGAGACATTAGGTCCTACCACCCTGCCCATGAGGACCACTGGACTCCCCAGCTCTGTCCTTAGCACAGTTAGCCCTTGCCATTTCATGGCCCCTTGGAAAGCTTTCAAGGTAGACAGGGGACACTCACCCACAGCCTGCAACACGGTCTGCAGAGGAGGACACAAGAAGTTTCTTGGAGCTACCCTTATGGAGACCAGCTAAGTTTGCTTGTCCCAGAATCTCTGGGTCTTTCACAGTGAGCTCAGCCTTAATAGAAACAGAGGCACTGAGACTCCTTCCCAGTCACCATGCCCCTCGTCCCCAGCCCTGGCTTTCCAGCTGACAGACAGTCTCACAGGACCCACCCTTTCTCCGAGGCTTGCCCCCGCCCCACCACACAGAAGACAGGTTTAAGACCAGAACAGTTACAAGCCTTTAAGGGGACACTAGACCACTAGCTTCTGATGACGGAGAGACACCTACACACCAACCGCACCATAAAACAGAAGCTGACTAAAGCTGAAATTATGAACAGGGTCCAAAGAAAGAAGAGAGGAGAGAAATAGTGTGGGGTGGTGGGAGAGCAGTTCCCAGTAGTCCACAATTCCCCACTCCCAGGGTGGGCTGGAACCAAGAGTTTAGCCTTGGTGTTCCCAGTGCATCTATTACAACTGGATTCCCTCCCTGACCAACCCCTATGTTCCCACATCCTCCATCGCTCTCTGATGCCCTCCCTTTCTCTCTCCTGCTCCCCATCTGTCACGACCCATCTCCACCTGCCCCTCCCTTCTCCCCACCTCCAGTCCTGGCAGCAGCTTCTATTTTCCCATCAAGTCTTTTTCCTCCATGTCTGGTCTCAAAGTTTCAGGCTCCGAGGAGCAGGGACGCAACAATTCCAAGCATCCAAGACAGAAATTCCCACCCTACTTCTTCGAACTGCATTTGACAGAGGCTGCACAAAGAATCCAAGAGAACAGGGGGAGAGAGAGGCAGAGGCTGAGGGAGACCCAGCTAGGGGAAGGTTTTGGGAGGAGGGGACTCCAACCAGAGGTCGGGAGTGGCATGCCCACCCTTCCTGCCAGCCCATGGTTTCCCTTTACCTAGAAGGACTCTGCCAAAGGATCCAAGCCGGCGGACGAGGGGACAGTGTAGAGTGTTCCAATCTCTTCCGGCTGCTCAAGGCTCATCTGTCTGCAAAGTTAGTGGTCAGTTCCTAGAGCTCTTAGGGATAGCTTGTTGTGGCTGAACAGACTCCAGGACGGATGAGAGGGGTACGCATGGTAGAGATGTAAGGCCTAGCCAGAAGGGGGGGTCTTACTCAAACACTGGAGTCACCCACACTCATACACTCATGCACACACTCATACACACTCACAGACACATACACACCTGTACTGGCCCAGCCTTATGGGTATATATATATGGAGATACACACACACACCCCCAGCTCTCCATTGGCTGGCCCAGGCAGCCCCCTCATCAATATTAAACAGCCAGGCCAGGCAGCCATTGGCAGAGGGATCTGGGAACCCCTTGGGAGCTGGGGGCGGGGGCTGGCCCTGAGGGGGGCGGGGAGTGGGGGAGCAGGGACATCTGTTCTCCATGCATATTTCATAAGCAAGAAATAGAGAGCTGGGGAAGGGGTGGGGCTGGGGCGAGAGCCAGGGCAGGGCCACAAATGAACCCCCTCAGTCTCTGCACTAGAAGTAGTAGGGCAGGGTCTCCACAGAAGCTGGATTTAAAATAGTTCCATTCTGAGTTCCAGAGTGGCTTTGACTGCCCCTTCTCCATATCTCCCTTCCCCTGGGAAGAAGGGTCTCCCTAGTACTAACAGCGAAACTATGAAAAGACTAAGAGACTAAGACGTGGAAGAGGACCTGAAAGTCCTCCCCGTATATAAGTTCCCATACACACAGCTCCTCGCTACTGTCCAGGCTCTAGCTCTTGTCATCCTGGGACTCAAGCACCCCATTCTCCCACTTACCCCATCACCAGGCTGGAGTGGGGTCAGATTCTAGATAGAGACCCCTCCCCCCCCCCCGAGGAGTTATTCTAGACTGGTCAGCCCAAGCTGATCCACAGGGAATCAGGGACTTGGGGGAAACTCGGGGGGGGGGGGCTAATAGGAGAGGAAGGAGGAGATCCAAGAGAGGCAAAACAGAGATGGGAAGGACTCTGGGAGAGGAGGGCAGGGCAGTCCAGGCTGCCCGAGTGTGCAGACCATCAAATGAGCATCAAGAAAAGTAGATACAAAATCATGTGCAAATGAGCACCGATTACGCTCCTCACTTCGAAAGCTCAGCCGCCTCCAGGGTCTGTGCCTGTGCGTATGCGTGTGTTTGTGTCTGTGTGGGTGTGTTGCAGGGTAGCCTCAGAGGGGAGCAAGTTTCTGTGGCTGAGAGAAGCACAGAGAAGCAGTGGGCTGGGTTTCAGCGTGGAAATTCTCCCATGTACTCAGCCGTAGGATGTTTCCATTGAGCCTAGGTATCAGAAACATACCATGGCTCGAGAGACCCCAGACACAGTGAGCGACAGCGAAAGGGGCTCTGTTAGTGCACCACCTTGGGCAAGCAATGACCTTTGGGCCTCAATGTCTGTTTTCTTTAAGATGGGGTAAATTATAACTATTCAGGTTGCCATGGAGATCAAGGGGGATAATGCTTGTAATCAGCATAGACCCTAGTAGGAGCCCACGCTGCGGGAGGGATTCGCCACTTCACTGTACCTTCTCAACCTTTTCTGGGCTTTCTCCAGGGTGAGGCCTTCCCTATAGGGAATCCTATAATTCCTCCCCAAGCTCACCCTCCTCTCCCCACCCCCAAGGCCTGGGAGGTGCCAACTCCCACCTGGGCAGGCCCAGACAGGTGCCCAGGCGCCAGCAGATGGGCTGAGCTGGAGGGGAAAGAAGGCCTGAGGAGGGGGTGGGGAGGGGCAGGGGATCAGGTGGCAGTTTGGTTCTTGCATCATCATTGCCATGGTGCTGATTAAAAACCAATCTCTACCTAATGAGCCCCCAGCAACAACAATCCTACTTCTACCACCCTCCCGCCCTCCAACCCATCTAAGGAGTGGGGAGCCCGAGACTCGGAAGAATGAGCCATGGGAGGGATGAGAGCAGACAGGGAGAAGCAGAGGAAAATGATGGAGA